GGCTTTCTGGTCCCTCCAGCTAACAGACCCACCACTTCCTGCTCAGCACTCCCACAGCATATCACACAAGGCACCCTGAGGCCAATAGAAGGGCCACCTGGTCCTGCCAAGGGACAGGAATCAGAAAAGGCTTTCTGGCCCTCACCGGTTTGGCTCAGTGGATAGAGCATCGGCCTGCGGACTCAAGGGTCCCAGGTTTGATTCTGGTCAAGGGCATGTACCTTGGTTGCAGGCACATCCCCAGTGGGGAGTGTGCAGGAGGCAGCTGATCGATGTTTCTTTCTCACTGATGTTTCTAACTCTCTATCTCTCTCCCTTCCTTTCTGCAAAAAATCAATAAAATATTTTTTTTAAAAAAGGCTTCCTGGGAGAAGAGGCGTTCAAGCTGAGACTCAACGGACAGATAGGCAAAGAGCAGTGGGATGAGCATCCTAGGCGGAGGGAACCATGTGTGCAAAGAACAGGAATCCAGAGAAAGTTTGGTAGATTTAAGGAGTTCGAGTCCTATGCAAGGGCCTTCTCTGACCACCCTCCCTAAAATTGTACCTGCCATTCTCTAAGTTAACCCTGAATGAATTTTCTTTACTGCCAGACAGTTACATTATATATTTCTGCTTATTGCTTGTGTCCCAAACTAAAATTCTAAGTCCTTTAGGGCAGGTACCTATCGTCCCTGTTCACCTCTGTATCATTCTCAAGACTCGTCATGACCAATGGTTTACCTGCTAGATTCTGAGCTCCAAGAACACAGGAACCCAGCCATCAGGCTCACTAGTAAATTCCCAGCAGCCAGCACAGGGCCAGGTACCCAGTAGGAACTTAGTAAACATTTGTGGTTGAGAAATATTGTCCATTGAAGAGATTGGATCTGCTGAATAAGTGCAGGAATGGATGAGTGAATGCAAGCACACATGAATATATATGTATACACCCACACAAATGGATAGGCGAACAAATGAATGGACTAATTAACGCATGAATGCACACACTCACATTCATATACTCAAAGCCCAGAGGCGCAGATGCTGAGCTGCCTCCCCTTGGTCTTCTTAAGCCTCCGAGGCTTCTATCTCGCCTGAGCCCCAGCCATTCAAAGCTTCTTTTCTTAGCCCCAGCAGCTGAGTTTCCATTGTCATCAGGGGCAACGGGCCATTTCTCCTCCGCCCCTCTACTCTGAGTCCTGGGAGCTCACTAAATTCTCAGCCCTTTTTGAGGAGGTCAGCTGACCCTGGTGCCTGGACCTCTTCTCATTGTAAGGCGTTTTTTTGTGTGTGTTTTTTTACAGGAGCCTCCCGGGAATTGTC